TGAAGCTTTGACTTCACTTTAAAGAACCGGAGGTTGTCTCCTGGTTCTTACGTCCTCGTCATGTGCCATGCAAACAAACTCTTCATTTTGTCTTCTTTCTGTTTCCTCTTGAAGAATAAATGTTTCATCTGGTTGTTGTTTGTTTGTCGTCCTTTGTTCCTCCTGCAGGTGGACCGGACGGAGGTGATTCGCAGCTGCGTGAACCCGACCTACTCCAAGGTCTTCACGTTGGACTTTTATTTTGAAGAGGTGCAGCGACTGCGCCTGGAGCTCTACGACGTCAACAGCAGCCACAACGGCCTGAAGGAGGCTGACTTCCTGGGCTCAGTGGAGTGCACGCTGGGACAGGTGGGTCACCTGGACGGACCTCGGTACTGAATAAACTCAGGTGTTATGTTTCTCACATGACAGCAGTTAGATCGACCAATCGGCTTGCTTTGAGGCTCAGGTTTCTTTGACACGTGTGTGTGTGTGTGTGTGTGTTGGCTCCATCGTAATAGACTTAGTTAGGTTCAGAAATAGATCAACGTTTGGGTTAAAATAACCACTGAAGTACAGAAGTTACGTGACAAGTAGATCCTGGAGGAAGGAGCATTTCTCTGTTTGTTTTGGTGGCCTCTATACTTCCTCTTTAATGAATACGTTGACTACTAACTGGGATATCTACCAACTGTATAAGAACAGCCGAGTGAAAACAAGCACATTCTGCTCAAATATAATTTAACACTCTTCATTTAATGTAAAGTTATTTTGCTCAGACTCAACAGATATCTCAAGAAGTGAATCGACTGCTTGAACAAGTTCGAAAATAAACGAGTGTCACAAAACTGAAGAGTGTGACTGAGATCTGTCAGAGGAAGACTCCACAGTGTGTGTGTGTGTGTGTGCTACAGGTAAACATCAGGAAGCTGTCAATCATCTCACTCACCTGAGCTAAAAGTCTAAATGGTTGTTTTTGTTTGTGACCCTGAGAAACTCTCCGAGCTTCTTCTAATTAGCTGAAACTTCACAAACTGTAACCAAGAAAATATGAATGAAATATTCTTTTTTTAATTTTCTGTCTTCTCTTCAGTTGCTGAAAAGCCAGTTCTAGAAAATATTGATGTTTAATATTTTTGGCCAGACAGAGTGTTTTGAAGAACATGAGAAACAGCGTTAGAGGCTGAAAGCAGCAGAGATAATAACCTGAAAATACTCTCCTGACAGCTCGTGTAGATTATTATCGTCGTTGTCACTGCAGCTCTCAGATAAACGGCTGATATTCACACTCACAACGTTCACAACAAAGATGAAGACAACAAAGTGACAGAATACAATTATTATTCTTTCACCCGCAGCACATGTGTTTCAAGCCGTCTTGAGCTTCTTAAATGGGTGTTTTTTTCCTGATGGAGTTTTGGTGGAAACACATAATTGAGTCTCATTTACATTTGCCAAGAGAGAGGAAATGACTGAACGTGGTTTGGACTAATTAATAAGCTGCTTTAGTATTCATATTTTATTCTGCACCAGGTCAAGGACGAAGTGTTGCTGTAGAGAAAAGCAACTTAATCACCTCAGAGACCAGTGTGGTTTTATTGTAAATATTTATTAGTATCTTATCAGATCTCATATTTAGACTAAAATCAGGAACATTTTGGTCCTTCTCTTCCTGTTTGTGTCTCTAAGTTACAAGCCCATCAAACAAAGATGGATTAATCCTCCAGCAGACAGCAGTTTATTAGACTTTTCCGTGTTTTTTTTTACCTAAACGACGATCTTTTCCTGATTCTAGGTAGTTTTGTTGCCTAACCTTAACTGAGTTTCCGGTGAAGTTTATTTTGAAAGGACCTTATTCATGTAACGAGTGAACACTGACACGTGTTGCTGGACTTTCGTAGGAAATCGCACCAAAAATGAAGAGTAACTTTTGGCTTCTTCAGGTACATAAAGTCTCTCTCCAGAGAGGGGTTTGGTTTGCAGGAAACATGGCTGACTGTATGTATGAATTCTAAGCTAACAAAAATGTTTCTTAGTTTTAGGTGATTTTAAACTAATGAAAACAAAGTTATGAATATTCATTGTATTCTCAAACAACAGTTCGTATTATATCACACTGGGGGACACTCTTAACCTCAACATGCAGAGCTTTTTTTTTGGAGAGTTGGGAAAAGCCTCCTCCTCGTCTTGGTCTCCTCGTCTTGGTCTCTGCCAGCTCCAGATGGCTGACGGAGCAACGGAGGTTTCTGCTAACAAGGCCTGGAAGAGGAAGTCGGGAACCCTCAGAAAAAAAACCAGCTGCTTCTTTTCTGACAGGGCAGGTTGTTTCATAGCGCCTCAGCACATTAAAGGTTACAACTTTTTCAAGCTGAACAAAATGATGCATTAACAGTCACTTTTAGACATTAAGGTCAGGCTGTTCTCATGACGCGTGTGTAGCTATAGCAACAAAAATCATTATGAAACACTAATATAGTATATTAACCTGGATTGTGTGTGTGTGTGTGTGTGTGCAGATCATCTCTCAGAGGAATGTGTGCAAAGCTCTGCTCAGACCAGGAGGCAACGTGGGGAAAGCCATCATCACGGTGAGCTTCATTGTGTTCATTGTAACTGCTTCATTGTAACAGCTTCATTGTGAAGCACGTGAAGCTAGGAAAACACGTCTCAGCCCCCCGGACCATCAGCACCGGTTCCCACCAAGGCTGCGTTCTTTCCCCTCTGCTCTTCTCCCTGTACACCAACAGCTGCCCCTCCAGTCACCAGTCCGTCAAGCTCCTGAAGTTCGCGGATGACACCACCCTCATTGGACTCATCTCTGGTGGGGACGAGTCCCCCTACAGGTGGGAGACTGACCATCCGGTGACCTGGTGCGGTCTGAACAATCTAGAGCTCAACGCTCTAAAGACAGTGGAGATGGTTGTGGATTTCAGGAAGACCGTACCCCCACCAGCCCCCATCACCCTGTGTGACTCCCCCGTCGATGCGGTGGAGTCCTTCCGTTTCCTGGGCTCCATCATAATCTAGGACCTCAAGTGGGAGCTGAACATCAGCTCCATCACTAAAAAGGCTCAGCAGAGGATGTACTTCCTGAGGCAGCTGAAGAAATTCAACCTGCCAAAGACAATGATGGTGCATTTCTACACAGCCATCATTGAGTCCATCCTCTGCTCCTCCATCACGGTCTGGTACGCTGCAGCCACTGCCAAGGACAAGGGCAGACTGCAGCGTATCATACGCTCTGCTGAGAGGGTGATTGGCTGAAATCTGCCATCCCTCTAGGACTTGTTCACTTCAAGGACCCTGAAGCGAGCAAGAAGGATTGTAGCCGACCCCTCTCACCCTGGACACAAACTGTTCGTGCCCCTTCCATCTGGTAGGAGGCTGAGGTCCATCAGGACCAAGACCTCACGACACATGAACAGCTTCTTCCCGTCCACAGTCGGGCTCATTAACAGAGCCCGGGTCCCCCACTGACTCTGTCATCCCCAGGACAAATTCCTTCCCTCCCTACTACTCCCCTGCACATCACTTCATATTTAAATACACTTGTCACTTTTACATTACACTTGTTTACAGTCCTGTTATCTGTTTGTCGTGCACTTTATTTTAGATTCTTTTAAATTCTATTGTACATTTTAATATGTTTCTATTTCTTGCACTGTTGATTGTTGTTTATTGTTCAATGTTATTGTCTAATGTTATGCACCACCTGCCATGATAAATTCCTTGTATGTTACATACATTGGCAATAAACGGTTCTGACAGTTTCATCGCAACTGCTTCATAGTAACTGCTTCATCGTAACTGCTTCATCGTAACTG